GGCCCACCCTTTGGTTTCCCCCAAAAAAAGAAAGAGGCCAAAGAAAAAAGGGCCACCCTGGGGCCCGGGCCTCAGAAAGTTTTGGGTTTTTTTTAAAAGGTGGTTCCCACCGGAGGAAACCCCACCCCGAAATTTTTCCGGGGGGGGGGGGGGGGGGCGAAGATACGGGAGGATGGAGAGTGGTGCCGCCAACCACCACGTGGACGGAGCGCATGGCCAACGGGCGGCAGAGGTGGGAAATGGTGCTCGTCGTTCTCGAGACTAAAAGCTTCCCAGCCAGCAGGCACCATCATCATCGTGCTGTGCTGATACCGAACACTGCCGTGAATGGTCGCCGTCATTCAGTCTTGGTATACGGAACTCAAGTGTTGAGAAAACCCACCTGTCGCACATTGGTTAGAGTAGATCGTCTGGACCATTGGCATCATTCGTTGAGACCGCTATAGGGACGCGAGGCTCCGTAATTGTAGGTTATGCTTGATGTCGAATTTCGACTGGGCGACGCATTTTTGGCAGAGATAAGGGTGTATGCGACTCATTGCGTAAGGTTGTGGCTGACGTGTACCCCAAAACATACCTGAATAACAATACACAAATCTCTTCCCTTGTGCCACCTAACACAACCATAGAACAACGTCTGCCCTGTTTTAGCGAGATGGATCCAGCCGTTCTCCGTTGGTCGTCGCTATCGACCAGGTCTTCTACTGAGAACAGGACTTGTGTCCACGCTGGAACTACAGCTCGAGGCGTTGAAGTTCCGTGTGGCTTTCTGATGCGTACCCTAGTTGGCCTTAAGGGCGACAAAGGAGGCGATGCGGTATCAGCAGGTTGGTCTCATCAATTCTTCATGCGACGAGCCCGTACATGGTGCTTCTTCTACGGCAACGCGCGTCCCTATCCTTCGGCCGTCGACGATGAAGGGGAAGTACATCAGGGAAGCGTTGTTGTACAAGCACCACAACCGCATAGATTGCGGAAGTGCTTCAATAATCGAAATTGGGAATGTTTCCAAGAGACCATCGCTGGCATCCCGTGTCCTCGCTCTTTGCGACAGCTCATGTTTGTAAGATAATCCGACCAGCCGATCGTATTTGCCATCTGACAGGGTCGCTCCAAATAATGTGTTTCAAGGGTATCTTCACCCAACCGGTACAGGGTGATGTCACCCTCTATCAGTTGATTGAAGATGTCGCTGAATTAAGTATCTAGTATCTAAAGCGACTCCGGGAATGCGACAAATAGGATTGACCGGTCGAAATATGCGCCAAATGGGAGCTGCCGCAGACAACGAGGCCCCGAAGTATTGGCGAATGTCTCAACGACAAGTTCGCAAATTCGATGCTTACAGCGCTTCCGAAATCAATACGGTTGTGACGCTTGAACAACAAGGCTTCCGTCACGAACTCTCCGTCCATAATCGTGGCGAAAGTCTGGGCACGCGCGATGCATTGGGTGGAGAGCTCTCTGCGAGGGCTCGCCTCGCGAGGCATCGATGAGAGCAGCCTGTCAGAGAACCGCATTCTCCTGCAGCGAATAGGCATTTTTGACGACAAGCCGCACATACATCCAACCCCACGAGCTGTCGTTCCAGCGTCGACACGAAGATCTTCCCTCCATGGAACGCCTGGTCAACGATCCTTTAAGTGTGCTTCATTCCATGCCCGGTGAGGCTGGTGGCCGGCCATGAGAATCGAGTTCCGGTGGTGGAATAGCCGAAAAACGCCGCAAGTTGAGCGGGTGAGGTGCATGTTCGGGTGTCCTGCGGAATTCGAACTTCAGTAAATTGGCAGTGCTTTTGTGCCACGATCTAAGAAGTCGATTGGGCATGATGGAACGGCAGCAGTAGATGCGGGGGGAGGGAAAGGAAATCCCACAATGTGTTCCAGGTTCGACACTGGAATCCAACTGTTTTGCGGGCATAGACTATGTGGGCAGCCTCTCTTGTGTTTGTCCACAACACCTGGACTATGAGAAAACAAATCGTGCGAGAGGCATTCATTGACCAAGGCCGATGCGAACTGGACACGTTGTTGATCAAGCACTACCATCGCTTTGACTGTTCGAGCGATACCAACATCGACTGCGCTGGTACTTGGTGGCCTAACTCTCGGCGTCATCTCACTTTCGGCGCATTTTCGATGAGCTGATCAAATCTGTCAAGTATCCGGGGTCGATTCAGATTTTGTCATTCACGGGCATCTTCAACTAGCCGGGGGGGCATGTGGCCACCCGATCTGCATTAGCTGGGCTTGGTGTTGATGTTCAGCCACCCGGTTGAGGATGCTACGTGGAACAAAACGATGCAGGGTACTACTTTTGGGGAAATTTTCGATCACCCGATTGAACAAGTCAAGTGGCCGCCACTCGCAAAGTTTAAGCTCGACGAGGATTTCGACCAGCCAATCGAACAAGTTTCTTGGCCGGAGTCGTTACGGGAATTGATCTTGGGCGAGCACTTGACCATAATATCTCCAAACGTGAGCGAGCCTTGCTCGCTAGGCCACCTGACGTTTGAAGATAATATGGTCAAATGCTCGCCCAAGACTAATTTCTGTAACGACTCTGGCCATGAAACTTGTTCGATCTGCTGGACGACGTCCCCATAGAGCCCCATCTCCAAAGCGTGACCGTCGCTTGTCACGCTCAATCGATCAATTGAAGCATGGTCCAAGACTTGCGCGATGCAATGATTTTTTCAGCCCACGTGACATCTTCAATCGGCTGGCTCAAGACAACCCTCCAAAGAGTCATCTTAGTTGATGCCGAACACGCAATCAATGACTTGAAGTCTGTCGTGATAGTATTCAGTGTGACCTGCAGTGCCTGTTGTTTCTGCTGGTCACCGAGCACCGCTCGTGCAGCAACGATATCTTCCCTGTGGGAAATAGGCTCAACAAGGCAGTTGGGGTGGCCATCGTGCATATGTAACTATGTGACTGTGTGCCACGGGACGATGGGTAGAGGAAAGTGCCGTTCCTAAACACCTCATTCAAATTAGGCGACTGGTCGGATGTATACTACAGAGTAGTCGTTTTCGGGGACGCGTCCATGGACGCCCGAAAGAAAACGACTGCCGACGAACTTACCCTCCACTATATTACCTTCCGCAATACCACCTTGCTTCTTATGTATAGACGCTTGTCTTTTTTTCCCCCCGAATAGTTGTTTTCCTGTATCCGTCCATGTCCATCAATATTGTTCCGGTCTGTTTCCTGCGTCTCTTCCGGCCACCACGGGGTCTTCGGCAATAAAATGCCTCCCAGGTGCGTTTTACTCCTATAACTTAAGTTGTTACGGCCAAATATCAGAGAAGCTACCCACTATTATCGTGCACAAGCCAGGTGCTAGTTTCAAAGCTGGCATACATTGTGGTATGCTTTTCCCTAACCCCCCATCTATTCCGGTGGTTCCGTCAAGGTCATCTTACTTCTTACGTCGTGGTCAGAAAATACAGTGAAGGACTGGACTTGTTATCGGCCAGGGCATCCTAACATGCACCTCGCTCCCTCAACCTTCGGCTTTCGCAAGCCGAGCCCTCACAGAGCGCTCCATCAAAGGTAACGCGCATTCCCAGACGTGGCCGTCGACAACGAAATGGCAGTCTTGTTGATCAATCGACACCGCCGCCTTGAATCTACAAACGCTAGCGAACTTGGTGGCCACTGACACGAGTCAATCGCTAAAAATCCGTGGTCTCTGCGACAGCTCACGTTCAGCCCACTTTCCGACTAGCTGATTGCGTGTCACATAATGATTCACTGCTCTTAGCTGGGGATAGAGATGACTTTTCCCCTCCAACAACAGATCGTACCCCTTACTTACGTTATCTCGCAGTGCAAATAGATATCACGGGAGGTGCCATACGCAATTGCTATCTGGCATCTCAGCGCCGCACCCGTCACCCACGGATATGCACGCGAAGCCGGTCGTGGTGCATGTCGAAAGATACTTCGTATTTAGTGAACGCGTGGGCGGGGGGGTGTTGCACACTACCGTACAACAATAACGGACAAAGCCAAAAACACAAGAGGAGGCACTGCAAAAAACCACATGCTAATAACTCGCAAGCTGAGTCTCAAACAAAGCACACCGAGAATAGGAGCACCACCATCAAAGATCAAACATGAGAAGACGCGGCTTCACACTTCACACCCCCATTCGAGTCGGGGAATGCCGACCGTCCGGCATTTGGTCTTGCGCAGATACAACAGGACAGCAGAGTAGACTGCCTGTTCTCCTGAAGTTGCATACGGTACAACCTACCAGAAGTTTATCAGTCTACAACCAGTTTAGCCTCCGGCAACTCTCCCAGTGCGGGTTACCCCCAATCCCCCCAGAAACCGCCTAGAGATTGATCCCACCCTCACCCTCTCAGAGCACCGCAGCTGCTGTCCAGACAAACTTGTTGCCTCCGAAGAACCGCCGGCCGGTGGAGGGTGTGGAGTGGAGAGTGGAGCGATCTCGAGCGAAAGAGAGCGGAACAAAAAAAAAAAAAGATGGAAGCCGCCGCGAGAACCGGTTCATGGTGCAGGGTGCAGGCCGGAGGCAATTGCGCCGCACGCGCTCGGTTTGTGCGGAGCGGGTGCTGTGGTGCTGTGCAGTGTGCAGTGCTTGGTTTGTGCTTGCTGGCGGCGTGCGGTACCACATGTCTCGACCTATCAACGCCGATGCCAGCCTATATACCCCTCGGATGATCCCCTGGAGAGACTGGGATGAGTGGTACAGGGTCAAGGTGAGCGAGCTCTTCAAAGTGATCACAGCATGTCTGTGCCGGCTACCGTGCAGCAGTCATGTAGGCTACAACAGACGCCTCAACCCACCCTGAAAGCGTTGGCGGATGAGATTGCGGGCAGATACTGCCAAGAATTGGCGTTCTACACTGAATCGGGTAAAACACCACTTCGACCTGATGCCAAGCCAAGTTGCTGTGTTTTCAGCATGCCTGCTGGTGTATGCTGTGCTATGGCGGTGTACTGCCCCCATCTGTGTGCCTGGTTGACCGTGAGGGTTAGGTAGCCGCAAGACTGGGCAAGCCTTGTGAAGAAAACCTTATTTTCTCTTGGGGGGCACATAGGTCAACCCTCATGCATACAGCAGCGATGAGACGAAACAACGGCAAAAACGAGTTAGTGAAGACCCTGCAGCGTTTTGAAAAAATTGTCTGCGGTACAGAGGTGCGGACGGGGTGGTCTCCTATGCTGCACAGTCTACATCTCACATCCCACGGTTTAGTTAGGCGTATTGCATACTTATTATACACGCAGAAGGCACACGGCATCACAAAGGTTTTATTATTCGCCCGCTCCACGGACACTCGTAGACATTTAGTATTGTTGGTGTACCGCAATACAACTGTTGTCAACCCTGCATCTATGCATAAGTCATTCCAGCTCCCTGCGCAAAGCAGCTGCATTTCCTGCAACAGCACCTTAATCTGCTGGAATATGGACACAGAACAAGATATCAAGATATGCTGATACCCCTCATCGGGTTCCTTCTCAGGTTTTTGACCACACGCGCACTCCGCTGACAGTAAAAGTATTGTGAAGGCGGCAGGAGATTATTTGTGTGTTGTTGTCCATGTCTTGAAGTGCTGACCTCGGGACGACCAATCGCATGTGGAGTTTTTGGACGGAATCTAAGGTGTGCATGCGTGCGGGTAGACTGTGGCTGGTTTCCGCAATGCTGACTGCCTGAGGAATGATCTGCTGGTTGATGGAACTTGGTGTACACCCAATGGTTGTTGAACGCTGACAGGAGCTATATGTTTAGGTATGCGAACAACACCAATACATGATGCGGAACGCAACGAAGAGGAAAGTTCGGTTGAGATGAATGGTTGGATGCGGGAGGCTACGCGAGGAAGACAGGAGCACGATGGCTCAGGCAGGCATGCCTCAATTCCTTCTAATCCGGTTGTCGTGACGGTCCGAACCCGACATTCAGCTTTTCAATTTCAGTGTCGCGACGAGGTGGTGTGATGTCATTTTTCGCCCCACCCCCCTCAGCACGAGCCCCCCCCGGTGTTTGCCATCGGGGTCGGGTTTTCGTCGCTTGGCAACGAAGTTGTAAAACAAGCCCCCCCCTCGGTGTTTGCCATCGGGATTGGGTTTTCTTCGCTTGACAACAACGTTGTAAAACAAGTAATTTCACTTCGTGAACTCGGCAACCAGGTTACCGGGTTTTTTTTTACCTCTGTTTTGTTTTTGGCGGTAACCGTAGTGGTGGTCGAGTAGATCATGTTGTGCGGGGTGGAGAACCCTCACTCCGCGCAAAGGGGATGATCGCACCACGTTGTGTTAAAATGGTCAAGCATCCTCGAGGCAGTTACACAGTGCTTATAACTGTCTCTGGAAGTGAAAGCACCAGAAAATAAATTAAGACGTACGCAGCTTTCATCCGTACGCAAGGAAGTAAGCACAAGATGCCGAACACCCTTAGCAGGATGCAGCTCACCCTTCATGCGACTCGTCGAATACCTCACGGCGCTTCGCGCTTGGTGATGTGAGAGCCTGGTCCGGTGAGAACCCGTCGTGCTCCGTCCCGGCTTTGTAGGGATGCTAGGTTAATGGTCTAACGACGACGGCATGCACGACTTTGAGTACACCCCGCCCCCCCCTCAGCACGCATCCTGTGTACAATGTCTGCTGTATTCCCTTTTCCGCCATTGAACCATTGACTTGATGTTGCGCCTGCTCTTTTCGACACCTGAGCCCCCATTGCGTGGATGCTGCAACGAGGTGTTGCACAATCTTTGCGCGTGTCTGTCTCAACGGTGCCAAACACGTGTGCGCAAACCCATTCGTTCCTCGCGTACGTTGGTCGCACCCATGACGTCCTACCATCGGCAGGCCCTGCTGTTTTCTCCCGATCCCTACCTACGGACTCAAGGTGTGCAGCACGTGGCCGTCTGGCAGAGCCGAGAGAGAATACCACACGCTGTGGAGACCACGTCCCAGGTACTGTAAGACGTACCGACTATGCATGGCATCGCAGAGATACAACGATGGTTGATGACTGCCACATGGGTGGTTTTCGTTTGCTGTGGTGCACGCTCCTGGGCCCTTGCCTCGCCGTTGTGCCGCCAGCTGCGGTACGCTACACGATGATGGTCTCTGCCGTATTGCCAAGGGCGCGATCGACTGGACTACCATGAAAGCAACAACGGTGTTTTCCATCATCCCAGTAGTACACAACGGTACCCTGCAGGCACATGCGCGGGAGTTTTCTTTTTGAAACGTGAGTAGTAGATGATTGTTTGCATCGCCCTGTGTAGATATCTGCAACGTTTCTCATACCAGCTCACCACCCCTAACTTAGACCGTCGTTATATTCCAGGCGAAAGCCCTTGTACCAAGATGAAAGGGCCCTTTCCTGCAATGCTTCCTTGGTGTGATAGTAGCAGCAGCAGTAGAGGAGGAGGAGTCCCTCTCACTTGAGCTGTATCACAGCGATATTTTTGAACCCCTCCCTCGGCAGCAACGCTCGTTTATCTCTAGCTGTGCGGGGGGTGTATTGTCTAGTGCGCGTGGAGGTAGGCAGCGCACAACCAACATCCCGTTTATCATCTGGCCGTCGGGGATCAACCCTCCACCAGCCCATGAGTACGAAAATACACACGATAACGAGGACTCCCTTCAACCCTAGAACTATCCAACAACACGAAACAGGAAGCACATCGCTAGGAGCACGTGTTTTTCAGCTCTCTACCCATCCATGCATCAACCAAGCAGACACAGCAGCGTCGGCTGTGCTCCGTGACCTTACGCTCGACCCCAACCCCCAACACTGTAAGAAAACATGGCTCGAAATTGAAGTCTTGGGTTTAATACAAGGATGGTAAAACATATTTCGAGAAAAACAACCGATGTTCCCCCTGCTGATAAAATGTAATGACCCTGTTAGTAGGCCCCTTTACGACCTCCCCTCGGGAGTTGTCTGTCGGCCCTAGTTGTTTTTCTCATCTCGATGGGACATATATCGGGACAGAAACAGCAACGATAAGCACCAAAAACGACAGCAGCAACAACAGCGAAACAACCAAGACGAAGACCACCACCACCACGTTGCACTACGTGCGCTGCTGCCCGCTTCTTCGTGCCGGCGGCCAAAGCTCGTGGAGGTTCGGCTCAACGACGTAGGTGCGGCGAAGGGAGGTGGGTTGGCCTTTCACGGCGGTCAAAGGAGTGAGGAGGAACTGCGGCTCATCTACAGCGCCGTGGTCGTCAGAGCGGTCAACGGCCTTACCGGGCACGAGCAAAAGGTGTGCGGAGCAGCGGAGATACGGGTGAACTTATACGTTTTGGCCTGTACAGTAGTGGCAACAGGGAGGTGCTCGTTTGGGCTCCTGCGACCTCTGGTGGGAGGCGATCGCCGATATTTGTTGTTGTTGTAGCAGCAACGCTTTGTACGGGGACCTGTAGCGTCTGGGGGGGGAGAAATCGTTGACGTTTTGTGTCTTGCGGTGTGAAACATTTTGCGGGTCTTAGCGGACCCCACTGTATCCGTCGCCAACGGCTGAAGTTGGGAAAACATGCCGCTCGGACTCTCTCAAAAGTTCCGGAAAAGCTGGTTTGACGGCATCCGTCTCCTGCGTGTTGTCCCCGGAGAAAGTGACTAATGTGTTGGTTATTTCACTGGCGGCGTTTTCTCAGCTGTAGAATTGCTGTTCTCGTCGAGAGGTTTTGAATGCGTACTCAACCAGAAGCTGTGATACTGTGCGAGGCTATCCCCCCCACACGTATGCGTGTGCCAGTTTCACTGTTTAATCGCCGGCCAGACACCGTCGCGCATTGTCCGACCGCACTCTCAATACCGGCCGATCCATTCATTTCGCCAACGAAAGCAAAATCTCCTGCCGCTCTTTTCCCCCCAACAACCAGGCCGCACACGCCGCACCAGTGTCTTCCCTGGCGCGAGAGATCGGACTGCCGACGTGGATAGTCGACATACGACACGAGGCTGCCCACAAGCAGGTAGAATGATGGCCGTCCCGTACCCGCCAGACGTGGCGTTTTGGTAGCGTGCAGCATGTTGGTCTCAGGTTGCGGTTCGATTCTGAGCCGCTGCGTTCTCTTTTTCTAGGATAGATCAGCAGTCCTTTGCGGAACGCTGCACAGTCTCGCTGTGTTGTCGCTTACCACAAGGGTCAACCCTGAACCTGGTCTGAGCGCGAGGCCGAAACATGTTTGCCAAGTTTCCGCTGGCCAATGCCCGTCATTGGCGTCGCTGGAGGTACAACTTCTGTGAGGCGCGCGTTCATCCCTTCGCACTCATACGCCTCGGGCCCAGGAGGTACTGTACCGCAGCACCAAGAGCACGATTGTGACTCCAGCACATCGCTGGCCCCCGTGAACGACTCTCCATCATCACACCTCTCGCTCTATTGGCGTGCGACACCCCAATCTTGAGCCTAACGAGGTGTTTTTTGTTGTTGTTGCTAGTAGAACAAACAGACGGAAGCCAATAGTAGGTCGCATGCATACTGTACATATATGCTGACTCGTGGAATCAACACAGCCACCACCTTCACCTGACCCCTCCCATCCTAGCATACGTCTTCCCCCTAACCAATAAATAGAATATGCGCTTACAACGTAGGCTCGACACACACAAGTATAAGACCACCGCAGACGGAACCTTACACGTTCGCTTTTCTTTTGTTCCTCGTCGCGGAATTTCGTGATCCTGCCAGTTGCCCGGCATTGTCTCCCTTCGGCTCGCGGCGGACTTCCTCGTGGACTACCTCTGGAGGCGTCACTGGAGCCCGCAGGCTGAGCACCTCGGATTCGTTTGGGGGGCATTCGACCAGCTCATCGGCAGGTGAGGAAAGTACTGCTTGGTGTCCTATGCGGTACCAAGTGCATCAGGTGCAATTATGGAAGGGGTGTCGAGCGTGTACGGGGCACGGGCACTTCCCGAGGTGTGTGCCACCGTACACCGGAACAGCGTTGCTGCACGCACCTTCCTGGCGCAACCTTGGGCACCGGGCATTCATTCGCTGCCCCACCAGTACAACAGAAAAATTCCTGTTGTGGGCTTGCTCCTTTGGCACCCTGGCTGGTGCGCCAAATATATAGAAGTATATTATTAAACGCAGAAATCGACGTGCAAAGGGATGGTAACGCACCCTGCTACTGTTGTTGTAGTTGACAGCTTTCGTTCAGAGGGGTGTGCCATTTGGCTTACGTGTTTCAAGGTTTACCCAGGGTGTGGCTGTGCTAGGCAAGGGAGTTGCCTGGTTTGGTCGTTCATAGTCGCATGCTGCATCGTTTCCACCACGGACTGCATATTTTCGAGGCTATTAGCCTTGAGAGGTGGGTGTTTTGCGTTCATGAGCGATGCGTGGTGTTTCGGCGGGGAGTATGCTCACGCTATGTGTTTTGTGCGCTCACGGTATACGTGCCCTGCGCTTGCGGTGTAGAAACGAGTACCCGCACTGATCGCGGATGGCGGCGAAATTCAGTCTAAGGAGGCCGGGATTGACTGCGAATCGTGTTGACCCATCGCGCCCTGTACGTGAAAAGTGACCCCAGCGGTACGTACGGTAACTGAAGTAAACATGTCTATGAGACCAAAGCCTCTACTCGATTCCAAGCACGAGGGCCTGTTATCCACGTGAAGCACCTTCCTGGCTTTCGATCAATCTCGATATCTGGCCGGTATTTCCGCCCTACCCCAGATACAAGGCCACCAGCGATAGCGAGGCCTTGATGCCCCGCAGTTCCTCCCCCGGCCACGCCGGTCGCTCAAGCAGCAAGAAAAGGCGGACCTCTCCCTCCGCATCCGGCGGCGGATCTTCATCGAACACAATTGACGGGGATTCCAGCTCGAAGCCTCCCGGCACCCCGCGCGGAACGGGCTCATCAGCGGCATCGAAACCCGGTGCCGCGGCCATGGAGGTTGCCGCGCACGAGATCGCCTTGTCCGCGACGCCGACCGCCCTGTCTTGGGCAGTGGTTGCCCTGCTCGCGGACGGCGGGGGTAGGGTAGGGGGCGGCGATTGTGTCGGTGGAGTTAGTGGGACCAAGGGGAGGGGGCAAGGGCACCTCCTTCCTCGCTCAAGGGACAAATACCCGACTCCGGTGAGAGGGTTGGGGGGTGGGTGGGATAGAGCTACCTCGGGGAGAGGTTTCCAACACTGATTGTAAAGTGGGCGAGCTTGGTTGTGATGCCACGATGTCATTTGGTGGTGCTCAAACTGGTATTGCGAATGTGTTGGTAGATGGCAACGCAACCAAGGGTGTCTTCCTTTCGCATCGTTGCGGGCAAGTACGCGTGCTCCTGTCCGTTTCAAGAGTTGCCCCTCATCGTGTCCAAGCTTTTTAGCGGGGAACCGAGATTTCACTTTTTTTGCTAGTAGTTCTACTTACCCATGTCTCCCGCTTTCTTGCTTCGTCGCATGATATAGAAGCAGTGCACCGCCAGACCCGGCCGTCGTCTTTGGTATTCCCCTACCTCTGTGTCTCTGCGGTAGTTGTTCCCGCTCTACTGTTATATCCTGACGCCCTGAACTGCTTTCGCATCGCTGCATATGTACTCTCTTGGCTATTCAGGGCACCCCGGGAGTGGACAGCCGACAAGTCAGCCGCCGACTTACCGCGAGGTGCAGTACACTACGAAAGTGCCACAGATTCAGCACAGTCGGGTCCTAGAGGGTTCGTGTGAACTCAGCGTTCTGAGGATGAATTTGGCAGCGCACCTGGCGGCACATGCCTGCTTTCTGATATACGTTCGAGTGGTCCGCACCCTTGCAGCCCATGGTCCAGCGACGGGCATACATCTATGCCCGGCGGTATGAACCTGCGTTTATTCACACGCTCTCACGGGGGGCGACGAGGGTGTTTGAGCCTACCTTCGCTTGCTTTGCGGTGTGTTTCAGTCGCACGTTCGTTCAGTGATATGTTTGAATTTTTTGCTTGAGGTAGCACGCTGACAAAGAAGCCATGGTCGCGATACGGCATTTCGGCACAGCTGTGAAATATCTCTTCGCGTGGGCAAAGGCTGTTGGACCAAGCAGTCTTCACAGCTGCGGACGATGTCAAGTTCACGCATCCATTCTCAGATACGCTTGAGTGTAGCAATTGGCGGCCTTCCGCAAAATATTTCTTAGCCCCCCGCCTCAGCCCTGCGGTTCTCCCTCCTCGATTTCGCAGGTGGGCAACCCTGCTGGACATGTTCCACTCTAGATGGCGAGGGTTTGGGGCCGCACTTCTGGTCCGTCTGGTTGAGGCACTCCTCGACAACGCATCATCAACACCCGGAGCAGCCGTAAACGCTGACGATGATGGTAGAGGCGCGTGTGGCGGTGGCAACGACAGTGGTGGTGGCGGAGAAGGAGGAGGAGGAGGAGGAGGAGGAGGAGGAGGAGGAGGAGGAGGAGGAGGAGGAGGAGGCCTAGAGAGGCAGGCCGCCTTCATCGAGATATGGGTGAATCACCTCCTGAGTCGCCGGTGGCACGTACGCACCAGCGATGTGAGCATGCCAGTCTCGAGCCTGACCGCATAAGATTCCCGTTGTTTTGCGTCCAAGCACACAGAGATCACCAAGCGGTGATTAGGTTCATGTGTAGGTGCTTGCGACCCTAGCCGGTATTATGTTCACAATAGACGTCGTTTTGCATGTTGCCGAGACTGCTGTCCTCCGATGGCGTGGAGTGTAAGACTTTTGGCGCACACGTTGGTGTTCCCTCAGGGAACTGGGGGCAGCAGATTCCTTTGCGGTGTGAAATGAACCCTTTGGAATGAAATGCTTGTTGACGAACGCCACGGGTGCTCCGATCACCTCGTGACCAAATGTTATCGTCTCAAGGAATATGGTATTCGCGTTTTTGTAGAGGAAACCTCATCTGGGGCTGCCGCTGGGTAGCTGGATCGGGCAGCTGGCGTGTTGAACCGTGTTGATACCGCAAGCTTGACGTTGGCCGAAGACCCTGCTGTGCTGATTGTTGCGGCAGTCGAGTGCGTGGCGAACGCCAGTCGCCTTCTCAGGGACCCCGCCGGCCTCAGCCCTACTCTATCGCTTGATGATTCGCCCCATTGTCTCGCTTTCTGCTCCCCCCCCTTCCTATCCTTTGCTCTCAGGCAAGGGTACGAGAAGCACTTCAGGAGGAGGCTGTACATGGCGGGTTATCGCCCACGTTCTTCCAAGCAAAGGAGGCTTTGTGGGAGGAAAATGAGAGCATCTGGGCGGACAAGCCAGGCGAGTGTTGACGCCGTTCAAGTCCACCTGATGACATCGAGAGTGGTTTGTTGGGTTATTTCTACCTCTTGGCAGGTGCACCGGGATCTTCAAACTCTTCGTTCGGGTCGCAGCCTTCGAAATGTGATGCGTGCGCGCTCGTTGGTTTGTGTGTTATGGTTCGATTCCACGTGTGCCGTTTGAACAGATTGGAATCCGAAATGGAAATAGGAACCTGAAACCTTTTTTGCAATCCACTACTTGCCTCGACGGGTTGCATCCGCCAACTTTTCATTTGTGCCCATGCATCGGGAGCAACTTTCGCCCAGGATCACGATGTTGTAGTGGGCCGAAGCTGCAGCAAGTTATGCGTTTTTCGTCTAGGATGATGCGGGAATCCACGGTTTGGTGCGAAAATCTTTATATAAGGTGCTCCGCCCAAAAGGTATAATCTTCTGCTGATCGTCAATTAATTTCTCCGCCGAACTTTCGTTGTTGATTGCCATGTTTCCGTCACAGCCCCCATGCCGGTGCTCCACGCCGCCTACTTTCCTGTGCGCGAACTATTCGATCGCTGCCGCCGTGCGCTCTACGCGCTACCGGCAGCACGGCAACGTTCGGCCGCGAATCCAAGCACTCTAGGCGATTGCTCTCTCGTCGGAAACAGTGAACGAGGCACCTGCCCGGCTTCCGCGTCCCCTTCTACGGCCGATGGTGTTGCCGACGACGAAGGCAAGACGCGCAACGGGTACAGTGCGCACTGGGCGAGAGCGGGACTCGACGCAGTCTGCCACGCGTTGGCGGCGGCACTTCCAGGCGAGAATGCTGCCAATCCCTCAGCCTCTGCCGCGACCTTTGGCCTTGACGCGCATCGGAACGGCGAATGCGATGACGCTGCTGCTGGTGCGCCCAGTGGTCCTGCGGTTGAGGCCCATGTCCCCATCCCTGCAAATCAAGAGGCACCCCCTTGCGTCCCACCAACAGAGGAGTGTAACCAAGCCGCTGGGCCCCCTGGTGGGGTGCTGAATCGTTGTAGCAGCGGCGGGGTTGAGCGGGATGATGCTGCAAAGGGTCCTGCTTCGGAAACAGCGCCACTGATGACGATGATGGGCCTGGATGACCTGGAACGCTTGCTTGGCGGAGATGCGGCCCCCGGGGGAAATACCAGTGTACCATCGGGCATAGCCGCTGGTGCGGTGCGGGAATCGGGGTTGAGGGAGGTTGGACGGCCCAGTGAAGTAGATGGAGATGCTGGCCGTGCGTGGGAACTGGTCGAGACTTGGACGCCGTGCGCGATAGGGACGCTGCCGGGGTCGTCTGCCGCCCGCCTTTACTGAGCGATTTTCATGTGGGGGGGGTCTGCGGCATCACGAGGTTCAAGGCACGACAGTTTTTCCAATGAATTAAGACTTTGGGCCAGTTTAGAGTATGATGACAGGGAGCCTGCAGCGGCGGCTTGCTCTCGCGAAAATCACACTGTAGAGAGCCAAGGGTGTCTGGGCTACTGCCAACGCTTTCTACAACTACCAGCGCCCCCTCGCCCATCGCGGCAGCTAGCGTCCAGTTGGAGCCGAACGACGGAAGTCCGGCTTGTGACAGCGACCTGTTCTATCTTATTTCGACGTGTGCCACAAACAATTAGAAGCCCGAATTGTAAGTGTAAAAGGCGGTGCGCAGCTACCCCTTATGCTTGCGATTCAACCTCCTCAAGTCCGCGGGTTCGCTTGGTGGGCATGGCTTGGTAGACAGTCCTGCCTTGCTTGAGCCGTGCCTGTTTTGACAGACCTTGCTCCGTACTTGGCAACAACGCCAGTTCTCATGGCCTAGGCTGACGAGCGTAAGAACAACAGCTTTATCTATGCACATGTGACGCCTCTTGCTGTACACTGCGGTCCACGCAGCGGTCGTTCGGTGGCAGACGCTCGCAAACTGCCAACAGCACATTTGCCTGGCTGCGCGCATGCTGTGTCAATCGCATGGCACACCAGCCCTATCCCTGCAGCCACCACTCGCACCGCCCAAAACATGTTTTCGTTGTATTCGGGGTGTTTCCGATGTATGTTCATCGGGGGCAGCCCCCCCGTTCCTGTGTCAACCGCCCGTTTGTATGTCGCTGGCATTGTTATTCTCGAAACAGTCATCTGGACAAGTTTCCCAAAGGCGCTGCAACTGCGTAAGTGTGTGTGCATGTCGTATTGTCTTGACTCTATTCACTTCTGCCAAAGTTCCGTGTTTTCCTGGTGGTTTAGAGGGCTTGTCACGAAACCCTGCCGGTGTTTTGTCTGTTGTGGAGCGAGACACCCTCCCGTGCTGTTGGCCCGTCACCTTCCGAGTGTTGCATTCTTGGTTAGTCGCCACATGGTGGAAGTCAAAAATGTCTGTTTGTGGGTCTTCTCGTGCCTGCAGGGTGCTGCCGTTTGGACCTCTTTTACGTTAGCACAGCCTTGCGAGATGCAGGCGTGTCGTCGCCGTTCTCTCTTGCCGCAGTTCTCCATCGTCGGAAGCTTTCTAGCTTCAGGAGAGCATCAACTCGGCGTTTGTTTGGTGTTCTTGTCGGATCAGTTGGCCTCGATTGGTGATCCCTTTGGAGTCTCAAAGAATTCAAAACAATAACAATCAAATATGTGGTCTTGGAGAGTGAAACTCACCTTGTCGCTTCCGGCAGATCTTGGACCACCGCAACCCGTTTTATTTCTATGTTGGCCCAACCTGTCGCCACCGTTGCCCTGAGAAAGTGGTCGGTAACCCATGTGTGCTATAATGATCTTCTGTTTCTCTTGTTGGGCGGTTTAGAACGTGTTTCTTGGGCCGATGGCTGAAAGCCCTCAGCGATCCGTTCTGGTCCTGTGTATTGTCCTTTTCTAATGTATTTCGGGCTTGTTGCCGCCGCCATCAATTTTCTGCACCGCCTGCAACTTCTTTCGGTTTCTCGTGAGGTAGTGCTGTCGAGGCATATTCCATATTGCCGTCTTTGGTCAAGCAACTCAGCCATTGTCCTTTCGGCTTGTCCTTGAGCTGGTTCCGCCCGCGTTGGTTTACCTCTGATCCCTTGGAGTTCCCAAGTGTCTTTGGGGATGCTTTGCCTCTGAGTACTTGGAAGAAGCGTCCCCCAACTTTCGTCGGTGTTCGTGTTCCTCGAAATACTTGGGCAGAAAGAGTCCCCCCCCCACTTCGTCGAAGTTCCCTGCAATGGTTGGGATGATGGACATCCTCGCAGCTCTTTCCTGCACTGGCTGGCTCTCGTTGTCGGTATCCCTTGCCCTCTGGGGGCGACTGATCGTTCTTTTTGTTGATACGAAAGTGCTCGAGATGGGATATATCCTAGACACCTATTATATGATAGGTTCCCCCTCCCCGCGAAGTGAGGACAAAAAATACACTCTTTTGCTCTTCTTGGGGTTCAGATTCCACCTCAGGCAAGTCGCAAATTGTTGGCACATCGTGCGGTACTCTGGACGACACTTTGAGCAGGTTT